GTTTCCAGAAACATGCTCGACTGTTCCAACATTGGATTTTACTGACTTAATTCTTCCCTTTTTTGAGCTTTTATTGACACTAACTTTCTGTGCTAGTCTACCATCTTTTGGGTTCACCCAGCTTCCAGAAGCATCTTCAACATTTGGTAAGTTTGATTTATTTCTTTGCCTATTAGAGGTTTTTTCAAGGTCAATCTTCTGACTCACTCTCTGTTTTGAAGCATCTCCATTGTTAAACTGACCCCTGAAGTGACAAAGACAAACATATCATGACATAACTAAAAAGAAAGTTAAAAAAAAACTAGAAACAACTGAAAAAGAAGTGCTCACATGTAATCAATTACTGATGCACCGCTCTGCTGATTTCCTCTGATGTTAACAAGTGGGAAAAAATTGGGCAAGCGATTGCAGACTAATTTCCGAATCTTTGGATCATCATGAAAAAAGTAACGATGAGCAGGTGGAAGGGGATCAGCCATATTCCAGAGTTGTTCAAAATCTTGGCCACCAGGCATTGTTTCATGAAAATTCTCATTGGTATGTAAACATGAAACCCTCTCAAATTTCTGAGCAGACTTATCCTTCGCAGATCGCAAGTACTCCTGACATACCTCATCTAAAGCAGGTGTTGGAATGCTAAACTTCTTGATCGGACTGAAATCTTTCCATAAATCCACATCATCCACATCTACAGGCATACTCATAGAAGATTTCTTCTTTGTTTCACTAGTAGTTGCAGCATGGGCAGAACTATACTTTTGCTTCTTTGAGGATGCATCAACATCACAAGTACCCCTGCTCACACTTTCACTGGGTGAAGGATCATCAGAATCGGAATCAATTAATTGGAACCTTCGAAGAGGACTGGCAGTTAACTTCGGAAACATGAATCCTTTGTGGCTTTCCTCCAAACTCACAGAAGCTGAGACATCTGAAACTGGTTTCCTTTTCCTTCCCATGATATGGCAGGATGATTGAGAGGTTAAAACCCCACTTCCACGTAATGGGACCTTTGAACTACTAGATACAGTATGGTATTGTGTTGACGAATGCACATCTGCTATAAATTTAGCAACCGTTAACCTTAATACATTTTCTATGAAGCAGATACACCACACACACACACACACACACACACACACACACGAGAGAGAGAGAGAGAAAGCTCAAAACCTCGATATGAATCGGATTAAAGATTATGCACAAAGTTGGACCTTCCTGGCAAAATATCCAAGAAGGAAACTATTACGCTACTAAACCAACACTCCTAATAGCACTACATGAAAATCAAAACACCCAATATCTTCTGAAGCAAATCCTATAGCAGCCTAGCAGCAGCAACAACAATAAAACAACCAAAGAAAAAGCCCAGGTTTACATTGCCAAACACAGAACTTAACCAACTATGCCAAAGATTGTTCAATGTGTTTGCTTGTGCTTCTTACAAACAACTTACAATGAACACTATTTACCAACCCACAGGTTTAACTAAACCCTATTTATGCCGCTACCCCGAAAATGCATTTCAATTTCAACCATAATTAACCATTTTCCCATCTCAAAGTTCATACTGCACATAACCCTAATTCCCAAATCACCAAAAACCATAAGTTTTGCAAAAAGGCCCCTCACCACATCAAAAAACCCATTACATTACATCTGCAAATCTAACAAAAAATACTACTTTCTTGCAGATAACAACTTCCTAATTACATTCCATGTTTGTTCCTTCGAAACCGATAGCGAAATGAAACAAAAAATATTTCCTTTACAATTACTTCATTCTCCTAAGCATCTGCAAACAATTAACATTATTTCCCCAATTTTCTTTCCTAATTTTATCAAATACTGCATAAAAGATCACACATTTATTCTCTTCCCATTTCCAGCTAACCCTAAACAAACAAAAATGATAAATCTTTATCATTACCTTGAACAAAATCTTCCCCAGACGAGAAATCTTCGATATCGTCGTCAACATTACGACACGGCGTAGCCGGCGTAGATTCCCGCTTCTCAGCCACCCCTCTCTTGAGCCGCTTGAGCGGTCGGCCGGGTCGGGACCCAGGATCTGGATCCGGGCCCGTGATTTGAGGCTCTAACTCCTCATCTACCTCAACGGGTGTATGTGCATTGGAACCCCGCGAAGAGTTTGGAGCTGCGGCGGGTGTGCAGTGGTTCGCGGCAGCTGGTTGGAGCTGCGAATCGAAACCAAGGTCGAGTCCGAGAGAGAACGACGGAGGCTCGTAGTCGGCCATGGAGAGAAATCGAGAAAATGGATTTTGGGTATTGAAAATTGAAGGGAGATGGAAAATGGGTGAGACTGGCAGACTGGGATTTATAGGGCGGGATTTGAATTTGGAAAAATTGGAGGGATTCCGAAATGAAATTTCCTTTTTTGGGTTTTTATGTATTATTTTTGGCAGCGGCGTGATGGGGAAGAATCCGAAGATGTGCTCTTTCATCCCTTTGGGCTCTCACTGAGTCCTTTGAATATATATTTGGGTTAACTGTATTTATATTTTATATTTTTTGGTCACTATGGGCTCCAAATATGTCGAGTGAGACAATAAAATGAGTCCCGAGATTTCAAAGTTTTTATATTGCATGCATTATGAAGTTTTGAATCGAACGCAATTGTGTTTGTATGTTTTCTCTTGCAACCAACTTAAATGTTCCGAAAACATACAAAAAATCTTACGGAATTTCTTCCTCACATTGATCGAAGTAGATGTGGTGAGTGGTGACCTAGAGTCTGATGCAAGATGGGAAATAAAAAATTCATTTGGCATGAAGCACAATAAATTATTGGAAGATAAATTTATTTGCTGGAACAGAGATGGTGGTTTAATACATGTTGGCTGATCGGTTTACTTTCAAGATGTTTTATGGTTGATATTATTACTTTAGTTATGTAATTTTCATTTTTATGTGATTTTAATTCAATTTTATGTCGATTAATCATATTGTCTTTCAATTTCTAAATGTAAGTTACAAAATGGTTATAAAAACCATCTCTTTTTGTAAGATGAGGGAGTTGAACGTTTTTGTTGGTGAATGAAATATTCAGAGAGATTTCTATCTCATATTTGTGCCTTTCTCTTTGTAAGAGTTTGCTGCTTTATTCTTTCTAGTATCTACGTTGTAGGCTGGTATTAAAACCAAAGTTTATAGGGTTTTCAGGCCTCTCCTCGCACTAGGAGATAGTGGACCCTACCTATAAATCCTATCTGTCATTTTATTTTGTTTTTATCTGTTGCGCCCTGCATCAGAGCCATACCAAGTCCAATATCACTTCGACGAGGAAAGGTAAAGTGCTTTAGATGTGCGGATGACATCTTTCTAAATAAGATTTGTTTTGAGTCCAAAAATAAAACCATGCGCTTTTGGCTCAAAGAGATGTGACAGTAGAAACAAAACAAAAATTCGTTTTATTTTTAAATAAACTTATGATTGTATGACGCACAAATGTTGGTTTTGGAGTCAAACCAAGGGGCATTTTGGAGGAGATGAGAGTTGGTCTTTGAAATTGACCTTTACGAACTGATGATCCCAATCGGGATATGGAATTTTACTCAAAAACAAGAACATGAGAATGCCATTTTTGCCATTGTTGGTTGTTGATGTGAGTTTCTGCACAAACGAAACGAAAAGTTTAAGTGAAAAAGAAGACGACGTAGTAAGGCATGGTTGTTCTTTTGATGAGTTTTTCATGCATCGTTTCTTGTTGGATAAATTGAACTACCACTTTCATGGTATGTGGAGTGAAGAATGCCATTGAAGTAGGCATGGAGCTAGTGGATAAAATGGGATTTTTGTGGATACATAAGATTGGTTTTAGAGTCGATCCAAGTTGAAAATACATCAAACTTCAGGAGCATTTTGATCAGAAAATGATCCAAAGTCTCATGTTAAATAAAATTGAGTACTACTTGACCCACTCCATTGTCCTATTTCTACACTCACATTTTAATCTCACCCACCATAAAAAATTAAAAAATTAAAATCCTATTAATCCACCCCAATTATTCCTAAAATAACCTCAAATATCTAAGTGCTTTTTTTTTTCACCCCAACTGCATCATCAGTGTACGCGCAAGTCGCCACGCCGCACGAGTCAAACGACCTCGACGATGTTTCCGGTACCGGCTTCCACCTCTGTCAGGAGTCATCGCGGCGACCTCGCTAAGATTCCGACAGCCGCAGACAAACGGCAGGGTGAGGATCTCGCTCTCGTCGATGTAGTCCATGTCGATGGCTTCAAGGATTTGGGCCTCGATGAAATGGCTGATGCAGACTTTGGCCATGAAGGGGATGGTGACGGAGCACTTGATTTCCTTGATGAGCTGGGGGTTGGACATTCGGGTTATGCCGCCCTGGGATCAGATGTCGGCGGGGACGTGCTTGAGAGCCATGACAGCGTAGGCCTCCTCAGCAATGCGAGCGTTTTTCCAGGTCCTTTGATGTAATTCTACAAAAGGGTAAAAATGGTAGTAAAAATTTCTTAAACTAGTGGGGTGGTGAGATAAGACAACATGATGAGTCTAAAATATTCATAATATCCCGATATTTCCATCGAAATTTTCGTGTTTTTAGACTACCGATATTTCTGATATCATCGATATTTTAGACCTTGCTAAGTCACTCATGTATCTTACCATGCAATGTATAAATTGTAAAATATTGTACTAATTCATTATATATAAATGATTATGGTGTGTTTAAACTTCTTTCATTAATCACTACATATTTTCTACACTCACAATGTTTGCCAACTCGCTATATAATCAACTTAAATCAATTATATCTATCATGCAATGCATATACTTCCAATTTTTTGTGATAAACTAATAGATAATTGACTAAATAAACATCATGCAAAGTTTCAATAAAAATTTTCAAGTTTTTCTTACAATTTCCGTGGTTTTTATTCAATTTTTATCGATATCGATAATATCCCAATATTTCCATCGAAATTTCCATGTTTTTGGACTACCAATATTTCCGATATCATCGATATTTTATACCTTGATCAGCACTCATAATATTTGAGATCGATGAGCGAATTTTTTTTTACCACAATAAGTGAGGTTATTCGGTGTTTTTCCCGTTCAAGTAATAGGTGTCAACAAAAATTCCCTTAAATTAATTTGGTTAGATACTAAGTACTTTTGTTGGCATAGAAGAGTCCAATGTGGGTTCTTGACTCTAGACTTTGGTTTAGAGCAAGCCTTTTTTATAAGAGGAATGTTTCTATTTACATGCGTGGGGTACTCGTGCTTGTCTATATTAGAGATGTGGTTATTGATGTGATTTATAACAACACTCTATTTTACATGTTTGAGACAACGGTAAGTCTTACTGAAATGGAATGGAGTATTCTTTTGTCAATAAACAGTACAAAGAGCATTTTGTTTCCTAATCAAACCAGTGCTTTAGTTGTATTAGTTTAGTAATATAGGTTTCATAAGGAACCATATACTTAGTTTTGGGGATTGTCTTGGGCCCTTTTTTACTATTCCTTCTAAGCAAACTTTCTTTAATCTTTTATTGGGTTTAATCTTTAACAATCTGTTGGGGAACTTTACCAAATAAAAATGGTCACAATTACTCACAGCCACCTGCTCTTGTAGCAAAAGATAGTTGTTGGGTCCCTTTTATAATTAAGAGGAGGCTGTTTCTTATAATGAAATGGTTAGAAATGAATCCTAGCTATATCTATGGAGGAGAATAAAGTGCATTGAACGGGCTCACTGTCGTTGTGGCATTTCGACCCAATAGTTCAATGTGTAAATTTTACTCCATTTAACATTGCATTATTAGATCGAGACATCTTAATAATAGTAAACTCGTTGAATGTAAGTTGTTCTTCCATGATTGAAGCAAAGCTAGCCATGAGGGGACTAGCTAGGGCCGTCCTCCTCCTTGTATCACCGAGAGAGAGAGAGCGAGAGAGAGAGGTAAAACAAAAATTTGGGTCTTTTCCTTTCTTTCTGAATTCTAGAGTATGTACGTTAATATTGAACAAAATATGTTAAGAAAGCTAATTACTCTTCCCCACATCCCCCCTTTGATATTACCTTTGGAACATGTATGTTAACAAAAACCACATAATTAACATATACAAAAGGAAAAATTAATTGACCTCAGGAATGCTTTGAAGAGCAGGCCTCCAAGACCTTTGCAACTGGGTCTCATAGCCATCACTAACCCCAATCAACTGAGCCAAAACCTGCTCAACTGACGTTTGCTTAAACTCCACCTTGCCCAACAACTCTTCCCACTGCTTCTTTGTGATCTTGATCTTCAGCTCTGTTGCTGCACCAATTTTACTACTGTTACTAGTTGTTGTTGTAGAACAACATGAATCCCTCTGGCTTGCTTCTTCAATCTGGTTCTTCTCCCTCTTCATGATCTTTATGTTTGCTTGATCACCATCGCAATAACCGTCACCGTTCATTCCATTTGCTAGACTCCCCCAATCCTCTCCTGCCCACATAGACGATTCATGCCTTATGCAGTTTCCCATCTCGTCTTGTTTTTCTTTTGTTTGAACGGAATAATATTAGAGAGCAAATGGAGAGGTGTAGTATGTGTTATATATACACCACGAAGGGATGAAGATTGGAGAGGGAAATTAATTATGAAAAAGGTGGTGAGGGGGAAGATGGTAAGGTAATGGAAAATGATCAAGCTTTTAAGAGAGGAGAGTCAAACCTAATTTGTTGCCACGTTGGATGACATGTTGTCCTACGTGGCTGGTAGTGGGAGTTTGACCTCTTTACCATCATCATCTTTGGGACTTTGTGCCTCTTTTGGGGTTGGTTCCAACTGGAAGATATAGGATGACACCATCACCGTATGCTCGAGCCGATCGGCTTCACTAATAACAAATAATAGTATGCCATTTATTTACAAAAGTAGGTCAAATTATGATGCCAATGCATTTGGCATTATTAGTTATAAGAGTGGGAGATATTTTAGTACAATTTGTAAAACACTTGTTTTATTTGTCATTTATTTACCGCATCTATGATAAGAGTTTGATTTTTATTTTTCTCTTAAATAATAAAAATAAAATTAATCTTATTTTATGTGCACTATGATATGCGTAGTCCTCACTAGTACTTCTGTTTCGAGTCAATTTTAACTATTGTGGCAACATGACTAATAGGAATGAACTTCTGATATTTGGTTTTTCAATCAACAGTTGTTTGATAAATGATAAGTACTAATATAAACTTAATTAAAAAGACATCAATTAGCTAGATTATAAAAAGTAAATTGTAAAGGTTAGGATCAACAATCAAATCTTGATGTAAACAACGTATATAGTATGTTAATGTTATAAGAAAAGTGTTACCATATCATGTATAATTTAACTATGTTATGTTACCAGTAATTTCGAATCTTGATCTGAAGAAACAAACCAACCATCATGATTCATGACCTTGAACTGCCACCAAACTAAATAAGAAAGTCAAGTGTGAAAGGGTTTAGGATGGGATCTTCCCCATTAAGGTGGTGTGGACGCAAATTAGCAAAGGGAATCTTTCAATCTACGTGTTATTGCTTTTCCACATGCTACTTTGATTTTCTCCTTACTCTTTTAATCATTATCCAATTATGTCTAATTTAATATTATCCATGTGCTTTGTTTACCACTTCCCGCCCTCCATGCAGGGAATTCAAAAATGTTATGATATAAGCCTTTTCCTTTTATTTTATATACGTGATCTATTTTTTTACATTTTTTTCTTTAAAAATGTATACTTTAAATATACGAAATTAATTGGAATGATCAGTTTTTAACATTTGAAATTGGAGATTGTTATTAGCATTCCAAAAATCTCATTCTACACTCCTCACAAATGTATTTTTCTTTCTAATTATCGAAAGTTTGGAGTGCTAAATGAGATTTTTGAAATACTAATAACAATTTCCTTGAAATTATCCGACATAAAATACACAAAAGTCTAACATAGGAGCTTAAAAGATCTTATTGTTAGAGAAAATGTAGAAATATAGAGAATAATCTGAATGATGATTTTGAGGTGCGACTTGAATCGTTTCCTTAAAGTGTTATTTGCTCACACTCGAATGAGTTTGCTAAAGAGTTCTTGGCAAATCACTTCCAGGATACAATAAAGTATGTAAGCAAAACCGAATTATATTCCCTTAGAAATAACTAGAAATAAATTGTATGAATGTCATGGAGAGCGAAGAGAGCAAGGAATGTAGAAGCAAATTTATGAAATTGTTTGCCACAATAGGTATTTATAGACATTAAAGCACATGTTCATCGAGTCCTTTCATTTTAGTTGAAGATATACAACCCTTCTTAATAGTGTTGACCCAAAAGATATATCTTCTATTTAGAATTTTTAGAAAATAAATATTGACTAATTACATCTTTTAACTCTACTCATACAATTTAAGTAAACATCATGTCTTTTAACCAAAAGTTTCAGTTCAACCAAAAGATACAAGGTTGAATTAAATCCAACCTTTTGGTACTATCATTTTCGCACACACATGCTGCACAATGCAGCACCACACACACACACACACACACACATATATAATATATACTATGTTATATATTATTGAAACTAATTGCTGCAATGCTTCACTCGAAGATAAGCAATGGTTAGGCATATACCCAACTTTTCAGCCAACTAATATATGAATATATTCTTCAAATATTCAACAATCCTTCTCTATTTTAAGAATATATAATAAATGGTATTACAATAATTCTCTTTTTATAATTAATCACAAGCATACCGATATAATTATGCATGCAATAGAGGTGTCTTTCGAATTAAACATTTAATTAGTGTAAGTAATTCAAAGTTATAACGAATGCGATGATGACCTAAGTTTAAACCAATTATTCTTATGTTAAAACCGGAATCACTACACACATGATTATGTCTTATTTCCTTAAGAAATTTCTGAACTAATTAAGTACTATTATGACATTGTGCTTCATCCTGGTTTCATGAATATTTAAAAGAGAAAACCCAACTCTTGGTAGGGGCGGCACCACTTCTTATGTTCATATAGGTGAGGTTCCTTCCCATGTCCTTACTACTATAGACATAACTATAAATAACCTCATTATGAGATAAAACTCATCATCCTAAACATAGCAGTCTTGCACTGATCATCTTGGAATAGCTATATATTAATTTTCAGTGCTTTCACAACCACTTATCAATAACTTGTTATTATTGTAAATACGGAAAATTCCTGAAACGAAAAAGACAATAACACGTGTACAAAATAATATATGTATTGTATTTTCTTCTAAATACCCACTTACAACCTATTGCTTTTGATCCTTGTGGCAAGTTTACTAAAACCCATGTCTAATTATATATTAATGATTCAAATTCATCATCTATAGCCTCTTTCCAAAAGGCTGCATCTCTTGAAGTCAATGCTTCGCTTAGACTTTTAGGATCATCCTCAACATTCAACAATATGGGTATTTTCTTAAGAGCCTTTTTTTCTATTTCATTCGACTAAAAATACAATAAATTGAGATGAAATAAAATCAGAGCCTAGAGTCTTTTCTTTTCTTACCCTTTGGCTTTTCATTGGTTCATTAATAGCTTCAAACTGTTTTCTTTCCTCACCTTGATAATGACTAGTAGCCGGATTAGAGAAAGATGTTTTATCACTCTCTTTTCCATACATTGAGTAGTCGTTATAAAATTTATTTTCTATAAATTCGACATCTTTGGACTCAACTATTGTATTTGAGTCTAAATTAAGCAACCTAAATGCTTTTGAATTTTTAGCATATCCTACTGTAGACATCGAAATTTCGGTAAATAAATGTTGACCGATAAATTAAAGTGTCAACGCTCATGTATTACATAAATTTTACACGTAGCGTGCGACTCAACGAAAATTGAAATGAGTTGGAAAAGTCATCAAATATGACATGTGTCAACACCTGGCAGAAACAACTTATTTCATCTGGGATATTATATTCAAAATTAGGCCTTGAAAAATTCTATAAATACAAGCCCATTTCATTCATTTGGGAGGACCAATTCATATTACACCTTGAAGCTCTGAAGCTCTGAAACTCCGAAGCTCTCAAGCATCCAAGTTCCCGAAGAATCAAGAAAGCCTTCTTCGTTCTTCGTTCATCGTTCTTCCAAGATCAAGCCCCGACGGCCCTTGGATCAACAATCATCCACCAATTCAAGATCAAGTCCCGACGGCCCTTGAAGAAAGTGTTCTTCGTTCATCGTTCTTCCAAGATCAAGCCCCGACGGCCCTTGAAGAAAGCACCATCGTTCATCATCCATTCATCCAAGATCAAGCCCCAACGGCCCTTGGATCAACAACGTCGACAAATCCACACATCCAACCGTTCTTCAAGATCAAGCCCAAAAGCCCTTGAAGATCCGTTCATCACTGTTCTTCAAGATCACCAAGCCCAAAAGCCCTTGGAGATCCGTTCATCACTGTTCTTCAAAGATCAAGCCCAAAAGCCCATTCAAAGATCCGCTCAAATCCACATTCAAGATCAAGTCCACGGCCCTTGAAGAACGTTCATCCTTAGATCAAGCCCAACGGCCCTTTGGATCAATCACACATCCACAAATACACACCTTACGGATATCGTATCAGAGGATCAAATTAGAGAGAGATTGTAACCCAAAATCATCAAATACAAATATTTGTTTGTGCACGTTGTTCTTGTCTCTTTCGTTTCAGGAATTTTCCATGTTCACACCTACAAATATGCTTTTAATTCCTCTTGGACCCAACTTGGATCTCTTAGGGTCCAGTGCCTTGTAAAAGGCTACACAACCCTATACTCTCAAATATGACAAATTTGGTTTTATTCCTTTCCAAATTTCATATGGTGACACATGTGTCTTCATAGATGTAATTCTATTGTGTATATGGCATGCAATAAATAATGCTTCTCGCATAAATGTTTAGGGGTATTAGCATTAATCATCATAGAATTAATCATTTCCGAGAGTGTCCTATTTTTTCTTTCTGCCAAACCATTTTGTTGTGGTGTATAAGGTGCAATTCTTTGATGTACAACACCTTACTCTTCACAAAAGATATCAAATTAATGTGAAAAATTTTCACTACCTCTATCACTACGAATGCATTTAATTTTCCTTCCCTTTTAGTTTTCAACTTCAGCCTTTAGTGCTTAAAACACTCAGAAGCTTCATCTTTATTAGACAATAAATAAACATAAGTGAACTTAGAACTATCATCTATAAATGTGATAAAATATCTTTTTCCTCCTCTTGTTATAACACCATTAATTCATATATGTCAGAATGTATTAAGTCTAATAAATTTGTATTTCTTTCGGCAGTTGGAAAATGTTTCTTAGTCATATTTGCTTGAATACATGTTTCACATTTATCATTGTAATGATCATTGCAAGCAATTAAACCAAGTGTGTGCATGTATTTTAAAGATCTAGAATTTACATGAGCTAAATGTAAATACCATAAATAAGAGGAAGATTCAACAATATAAGCAGAAGAAATCACTTTACTATTAATACTTAGTTTGAACATCGCCTCACAAGAATACCGCTTCCCAACAAACATCCCATTTTTCAACATTATTAACTTTCAGACTCTAGAACAATCTTTATACCG